ATGTATGCATTTACACATACATAAGCTTCAGCAAGACATAGTTATAAGATTACAAAGACAATTCATCATCTACTTATAGAGAAAAACAATATTATGTATAAATGTATGTTTTTATGTATTATTTGTTTGTTTGTATGTATGTATATATGTATATTTTGTATGCATATATACATTGCTTTGTCTACATCATGCTGATAACGTATATATCTGTGTGTGACACATACCTACGAAACGCATAAAATATATACATACATACATACATACATACATACATACATACATACATACATACATACATACATACATACATACATACATACATACATACATACATACATACATACATACATACATACATATATACATACATACATACATACATACATACATACATAAATACATACATAAATACATACATACATACATACATACATACATACATACATACATACAATTGGAAAAATTTAAATTTATTATGTCTAGACTGAAGGTAGTTTCGAAGCATGATGCCTTGACCTTGCTGTTGCACGCGATGTACTTGCCTCGTTTGACTTTTTTTTAAGAACGTCGCCCAGCCTCGATAATTTGATGCTTCAATGTTTTGATCAAACTCTCCGTGACGGCTTACAATCGATTTTCAACGTTTCCCTTGACCCGAAAGGTTGGTTACAGGCAACCCTGCCCATCTCGGTTGGTGGCTTAGGTTTAGGTACCGTGGTGGATTTAGCACCTTCTGCTTTTTTGGCTTCTGCTGCTGCCACGGTTCCTCTCCAAAATTTGTTGTTGCCCAGGGATAAAATATATTCCGACAATTTCAGAATCCAAGTTTTTGATGGGTTCCGGACCGTCCACGGAGCGGGGATTTGTATCGAAACCCGTTCTCAAAAAGAGTGGAACGCTCCATTTATCAGCAGCTCAGTTGCTAAGTTGCTGGATTTGAACCAATCAAATTTTGACAAAGCCAGGATAATGGCTGTAAAAAGCGAGTTGGGATCATCTTGAAGCGGTCTCAAATTCCTCCTGTGGTACCAGGCTGGACGACTCTTGTGTTTGTGTCAGTTTGGGACTGAGACTCGGTTTACCCATTTTAACCAAGTATGTTTGTTTATGTGGGGCCAATGTTGAACCCCTGAGCTACCATGGTCTTTCTTGTCGATTGGGCCCTGGTAGACAGGCTCGACACTCGGCCATAAACGATTTTTTGGTCAGGTGCTTTCAGAGGGCAAACATACCCACAATTAAAGAACCCACGGGTCTTATGGAGGAAGGTAGCCTCAGGCCCGATGGGTATACTATTTCACCATGGGCGCAGGGACGTTCCCTTGCTTGGGATGTTACGTTCCTTCACACCATGGCTGAAAGGTACATTAATCTTACCTCACAGGAGGCGGGTGCCGCTGCCTTAAGAGCCGCAGATTTTAAAAATTCAAAATATGCGGCTCTTGCAGAAAGCAAAATTGTTCAGCCAGTCTGCATTGAGACTTTTGGTCCAACCGATGCTCAGACTCAGAGTTTTCTGAATGAACTCTGTAGCAGGATTGTAGAAGTATCGGGTGACCCATCATTGGCCCATCAAGAGTTATGTAAAGCAATCCTTTTCTATTTTACTTCAAAAATATAATTCTTTCTGTATTTTCGATGGAGCGTTAAAATACTTGTCTGTGCGAAGCGTTTAACATAGATTAAAGCTGAACCCGGATATGATTATTACTTCCCTATAGTTCTAATCAATTATGGGTTCATACATACATACATATATACATACATACATACATACATACATACATACATACATACATACATACATACATACATACATACATACATACATACATACATACATACATACATACATACATACATACATACATACATACATACATACATACATACATGTGAGTGATTTATGATAGTAGTTAAGAAGAATGCACGGGTTAAAACGAGTCTGCGATTGCTTCTATCATTTTTTTCTGTTATTTGTTCTAAATAAAATTTTATTATTTTTCTCATTATTATTAATACTACAACTACTACTACTACTGAATTATTATTATGATTGTTATTTTTAAAATTATTATTGTTTTATAAGTTATTTTATCAAACAACCATATAGCCAATCATCATTTTAATTACCCATCCAGTTAATTAATTAATTAATTAATTAATTAATTAATCAGCCAGCCAATCATCCAATTAACCATCTAACCAACCAATCAATCAGCCAGCTAGCAACCAGTCAATCAGCAATTCAATCACCAGCCAATCAACCAAAACTCGCTAACATACTTTTATCAGAACCGATCATTAAATCAGCAAACCAATTGGCCAATCAATCAATCAACTAGCCAACAAACCAACCAACTAGCCTATCAATCAATCAGCTAGCCAACAAACCAACCAACTGACCAATCAATCAATCAACTAGTCAAAAAGCCAGCCAAACAACCAATCAGACAGAAGCAATTTAGTGATCTCGAAAAAAGCTAGATACATTGCATCCTAATGAACTTAACACTAGGAAATGACAAAATGTAATTGTATGTAACGTAGAATCTTTAAAGATTTCGCTAATCCTGGGAACATTCATTTAGACCGAGCCAACATTATATTATTCTTTCTCTCTCTCTCTCTCGCACTTTCTCTCTCCCTCTCTTTCTCTTTCTCCATTTATCTCATTTCTTCTCTTCTTTTTCTTCATTCCCTCCTTCTGTTCTATTCTTCTTCTATGTCATCCTTTGGTCATTATTATCTATTTTACTCTTGTTTTTTCTCACTGTTTCTCTTTCTCTCCCTCTCTCTCTTTCTCGCACTTTCTCTCACACTCTCTCTCTCTCTCTTTTTGTTTCTCTTTTCTCTACTTTTAGTTTTTTTTCTTCTTCTTTGCGTTTGTTTGTAAATGTGTGTGTGTGTGTGTGTGTCTTATTATGTTTGCACGTTTTATTCAGTTCGGATAGTTTGTTGTTTTATTTATTTTTTGTACCTCTGATATTTATGCCTGCGTTGTAAACAAAAGTATCTTTCTCCTATTTGGGCTTTTTTTTTGGGTTTGAACAAATGTTACAAATTCTATAAAAGACTGTTGTCGATGTTGATGATGATGCTTTTGTTGGTGATGATGATGATGATGTTGTTGTTGTTAGTGACGATGTCGTTTTATATCACGTGACATTCGTTTATGTCATTTTCTTGTTTACAAAGTTTTGTTGTTGTTGGTTGTGGTCGTTATTTATAGCCTTTTTGTTGTTTATATTCTTGTTTATATTCTTGTTGATGTCGTTTGCGATTATTTTGTTGTTGTTTATGATTTAAACCTTCTCTATTTACACCTGCAGTGGATTGTTTATGGCTCGCATGTATATTTGTTGAAAAATTATAATATTTGTTGTTGTTGATGTGGCTAATAAACAAAACTCAACGAAACATCAACACGAATGTAATGTCGTTGCTGTTGTTGTTAATGTTTTGTTGTTGTTGTTTGCGTTTGGTTTGATTATGAACGATTTGTCTACGGGTAGTTTGATCATGCTTAAAGAAAGGTTGTTTATGATGTTTGTGTGTGTGTGTTTGTTTGTGCGTGTGTTTGTCTGTGTGCGTGTGCGTGTTGTTACTTGTGCTGTTGTTTATATAGTAGTTGTTGGTTGTGTCGGTGAATTTGCGTGGTTTGTGTTTTTGTCAACGTGAATATTTTATCGCGTCTGATCTTTCGGTTATGGCTTATGAATGAGTTTGTATGTTTGTCTGTTTGTTTGTATGTTTGTCTGTCTGTTTGTTTGTATGTTTGTCTTTTGTATGTTTGTTTGTTTGAATTACGATTCAGTTGCTTCTGATGTTGTTTGCGCAGAAAAGCTTTCAAATTTTTCAATTAGAAATCCAACAAACAAACCGGCAATAATATCATTTATTGAGGAAAAAAGAACAGAAAAATAATTATAACAATGAATAACAATAATAAAAAAACAATAATAAAAATAATAACGATTAATAAACTCAGTTTTTATTATGAGTTTACCTGGAACAGTCTGAGATAAAGTGAGAGAGAAAAGAGAGAAAGAAAGAAAGAAAAAAAGAAGGAAAGAAAGAAAGAAAGAAAGAGAGAGAGAGAGAACACACGGCAAGCGAGTTAAGTGAGTTAATAAACGAGGGTGGTTAATTAGAAGTTGAGTGACTGTTGGATTGAAACTTGAGTGATATATCGATTGATTGATTGATTGATTGATCGATTGAAATGAAAAAATGAAGCCGATCGATTGAAAGAGCAAAAATGAGTGAATGCTTAAATAAAAGTTATAATATGATTGACTTATCAGTTTTACGTGCGAGATTTTCAGGGGTCTATGTACAGCAAAGCTCGCGAATCAACCAAAAAACTAACTAATCAACTCTTTTTTCATTTAATCAAACGATCGATCGATCCTTTAATCAATCAACAAATCAATCAACTAGTGAGCTCTTAAAACAATAGATCAACGAATCCAAACATAAATCGCCCATAAATAAACCAACCAACTTGTCAGTTAATCAATCTACTGTAAGTCCATCTAATCATACAACCAACTAGCACACCGACCAATCAATCAACCAATCAATAAATCAACCAACCAATCAATCAATCAACCAATCAATCAATCACTTCAAACTGTCAACAAAATCATTGATATTATATTCCCCCTCGTACTGATTGATATCCCACGACTGATTTTTTCCCGCCGAAATCGCGCCACCACCAACACCGCAAACTTTGCCGCCTAAGTCGCCGCTTCCAAAATCACCGCGGCCTCTAGGGCCACTTCTACCACGACTATTACCATCTCGGCCATCACTCTGCGATGATGATGATGATGAGGATGAGATCTGCGTGGCTGATGATGATGATGACGACGTGTCGAGGCAGAAGAGATGGAGCAGCTGGTTGGAGCCCATGGAGGAGAGGCTGTAGTTGTCCTGGTTCACCACCGACTGTGCTATGTTCAGCTTGAACTTCTGTAATCTGTAACAAAAGTAGTAGTTGTTGTAGTTTTTGTACTAGCAGCAGTAGTTGTTGTATATAGTAGTAGTTATAGCCAAAGTAGTAGTAGTAGTAGGAGTAATTGTAGGTAGTGGTATTAGTAGTAAAAGTAGTAGAGTTGTAGTTAGTTGTAAATATTATCAACATCATAATTTGTAAAGCCATAAGCTTTATCATTGTCATGATCTTCATTCTCTTCAGAACAACAATCGTCATCAAGAATCACTATCATCATCATCATCATCATCACCATCATCATCATCACAATCATCATCACTCCAATCATCATTATCACAACTAACCCCATGATCTTTTCCTCCAGTGTGCCCCTCGTTATTAGCCTGTAGACTGTCACGACTTTTTTCTGGCCAATCCTGTGGGCTCTGTCCATTGCCTGGTCATGATGATGACGACGACGACGATGATGATGATGATTGTGGTTGCGATTGTGATGATGATTGTGATTATAACGATGTTGACTGTCCGTTTGGAGTCGAGGGGTATTTCGGTTTCATCATAGGTAGCCAAACGGCAACCCCCGATCTCGGGGAAAATGCCGTCTAAACGTGTGTTGTTGTTGTTGTTGACTGTCCGTTTGTGCGTGTCGCAATGACACCGTGTTCGAATGCATAGTCAATCCTCGTCAATTGTAAGTAGAACGTGTATTAATGCGCTTATCACACACGAACTTCATTACTCTCTCACTCTCTCTCTCTTTCATTCTATCTATCTGTCTGTCTGTCTGTCCTATCTATCTATCTATCTATCTATCTATCTATCTATCTATCTATCTATCTATCTATCTATCTATCTATCTATCTATCTATCTATCTATCTATCTATCTATCTATCTATCTACCTACCTACCTACCTACCTACCTATCTATCAATCTATCTATCTATCTATCCATCTATCCATCCATCTATCCATCCATCCACCCATCTATCCATCCATCCATCAATTTATCCATCCATCCAAAAAACGAATAATCCCAATGACGACCGCACGACCCACCCGCCCACCTGCAAATCTTTCATGGGGTTCCAGTCGTGGTCGTAGAAGATCACGGTGTCCGCTCCGGTCAGGTTCAGACCCAGGCCTCCCACTTGTGTGGATAGGAGGAGTAGGTCGATGGACGGGTCGTTGTTGAATCTGGTGGCGATGATGATGTCGCGATGACGTCACGATGAGAATGATGACGATGATGATGTCATGATGACGTCATAATAATGTCATAATGATGTTACGATGTGATGTCATGATGACGTCATGATAATGTCATAATGATGTGACGATGACGATGTGATAATGATGGTGTCACGATGTGGTTAGTATAATGACGTCATGATGTGGTTAGTATGATGATGATGGGGTTTTTTTTACATTACAGTCGCCATGTTAAATGTGCCACCACAATTTCAATCGTCGTCATCACCATCATCTTCCTCATTATTACCATCATTATCATCTCAACCAAATCATCACCATCATCATCATCCTCATCATCATCATCATCATGGTTCACTAGCCTGTGAACGATCTGCTGTCTATTTATAGCCGGGACCGAACCGTCCAATCGCAAGTAAGAAACAGAGGTCATGTGACGCCTAATTAAATAATAATAATAACAACAACAACAATAACAATAACAATAATTAAAATAATAGTAAAAGCAATCCTCGTTATCATCATCGTCACCGCCATCATCATCATCATCATACTTGAGTAAATCATTTTCGATGATGTTCAGCATGATCTTCATCTGGCAGAAGAGGATGACTCGATGCTGGCTGACCACCGAAACGCTGCCACTCAGTAGCGACGCTTCGTACGATGCCGCTGATGATGACGACGATGATGTTGATGACGATAATGATGAAGACGATGCCGATGACGAGTCAGGGTTTTCCCCGATGCCACACTCGATTAGCAGCTGCCTGGATGTTTGTTGGAGTGGTGGTGATGATGATGTTTGTGAGGATGGTGATGATGATAATGATGATGATGATGATTGTAATGAAGACAATGTTTATGATGATGATTACAATGATGTCTGATTATTAGGTGATGATGAAGATGAGAAAGATGATAATGATTACTAACTTCAAAGCAAGCAGCTTAGTAGCATGAGATATATCTCTGATGTCATACGCAGACGACGACGATGACGATTTTGCAGCCGCTGCTGATGATGATGATCTTTTTGATGATGATAATGATGGTGGTGGTGCTGCTGATGATGATGATTCGTTTTGCATAACTAGAGCCGGATGGTTGCAAACTTTTCTTAAATACTGCAAGGCCTATGAAAATAAATAATGACCATCATCATTATCATCATCATCATCCATTCTCATCATCATCATCATCATTACCCACCATCATCATCATCCATTCTCATCATCATCATCACCCACCACCACCACCACCATCATCATTATCACCACTGCCCTCACCTGGAATATATGAGAACCCCTCTCTTTCTTCTTCTTTTCAACTTTTTTATCATTACTATCATCATCACCGTCATTATTATTATTATTATTATTATTTTTACTATTAATGTAATTGTCGTTATCATCATCATCATCATCACCGTCCACATCATTATCATCACCGTCGTCGATTTTGAGGTTGTTTTCACCGTTGTTCTCGGCTGATTTGAGGTGCATTCGAGAATAATCTTCGTACAGCTTGATCTGGATGGAATGAATGAATGAATGAATGAATGTGGGTGAATGAATGAAGGAATGAATGAATGAATGAATGAATGAATGAAGGAATGAATGAATGAATGAATGAATGAATGAATGAATGAATGAATGAATGAACCTGCAACGGACTGAGATCACAGTAGTAGTCTTGAATAATTTTTGGGGGGAGATCTTTCAGTACATCTTCCTTCATTCTCCGAAGCATGAACGGCAACACTTGTCTGTGTAGAGCCGCGAGTGCAAGTACACCTATGGATTGGATGATCGATTGATTGATAGAGTGAGTGATTGACTGATTGGTTGATTTATTGAATGATTGATCGATTGATTGAGTGAGTGATTGACAGATTGGTTGATTTATTGAATGATTGATCGATTGATTGAGGGAGTGATTGACTGATTAGTTGATTTATTGAATGATTGAGTGAGTGATTGACTGATTGATTGATTTATTGAATTATTGATCGATCGATTGATTGATTGACTGGTGTGTTTGTTAGTTAGTTAGTTAAATAGTCAATTGGATGATTAATTGGTTGGTTGATTGGTTAGTTGGTTGATTGATCGATTTAATGATCAGTTAAAAGCTTAATGTTTAATTAAATGTTTGATTGATTGCTTGAATATTAATTAGCTCATATTTCACATTTAATTTCGCCAAATCATATCAAAAAATATTCTAAAAGAAAGTAATGCATGAAATGAAATGGAAACCAAAAAAAATTGCCATCATCAGAAAGACGAAAATACACACACACCACACACACACACACCACACACACACACACCACACACACCACACACACACACATACCACACACAAACACACACCACACACACGCGTGTTTCGTTCTTTACGTTTTTACCAGCAGATAACACTTCATGCTCGCCGGTAAGTTCAATGGATATTGAGTTTAAAACATTATTATTAAAAATTTTAGAGTTTCTATCATTATCAGTTAAATTTAGTTGACCTTTCATAAGATTCTCGGTTACATTCATATAATAGCGATTAAGTGCACTGCATATTTGATCTGTTTTGTCAGTAATATTATTGTCAACTTTCATACTACTAATTTCGGGAGACTGTCCGTTTTTGTTCAAAATTTTATTGATGGTTAACATACAATTTTGCTTGATTAAATTGTTGTTTATAATAATTAAAAAAAAACAGAAAATGTTCTACAATTTTTGCTCGTATGAGCTGTTGCCTGTATAAGCCAAAAATGAATCGAACTTCAAATAAAAAAAAATTGTTATATCAATCAATCATGAAGAAAGTAGATAAGAAAAATATTCTTTTAAAGGGCTACAGGATTTTTGATCGTTTGTTTGCAATGGCATCTTCAACAGCTTTCAACTCCATTAATAGTTCTTCTGTCCTTGATGAAGTGCTTTTCTTGCTTTCAGATGTCGTGGATTGCATTTTTCCATATTTAGCACTAGGTGTCTTTCGATTGACATCATCCACACAACTGGACCTTTGCTGACGAGATGGTGCAGGCTGGCGCGATGAATCGCTTGCTGGAAGGTCCTTGTTTTCATAGGCTATCTTCATGTGCTTCTCCTGAGGTCTCATCCGACTGGGACTTGAGTGGCGTTTTCTTGAAGACGAAGGCGGCGGTAATTCGTGTTGCCTTTGCGAAGATCTGGTGGGTGCGTTCACTTCTTGGTGCTTGTGTCCTGTCGTAGATTTATTCACTACTCTTCTATATCCTTCCGGAGACTGCCTTCTCCGGTTTGCTTCGAGAACATCTCCCTCCACTTCGCCCTCTCTTCTTTGATACCTCCTATTGACAACCTGGTGGTCCCTGTTGTTGCCGTATGATTTATCATGACGCTCCTTCGACATCCTGTTCATTACCGGCTGGTTCATCCTTCTGCCAGGCTGTCTTCTCTCATCTCTCTTTTCCTCCTTCTTTGGCAACATTCTTTCACCCATCCTGTGATTCCTAACATCAATTCTAGCGTCCACCGTTTGACCAGCACGACCTCCTGGCCTGCTGTACATCTTCGAATCAACTCTCGAGTGTTCCATATTTCTGACGGGATAATCCATAGAATGCACACCTCTCTCTTCCATTCTCAGGTTCTTTCTGTAAGGTGCCCTCATGTCTCTACCTTGGCCAGCCCCTCTACTATCCATATGAAAATCTCTTTTTTCCCTCCAAAATGACCCATCCCTTCCATCTCGGAATCCCCTACCCATTCGCTGAACGGGTGCAAATGGATGCATCTTCTGGACAAGATAGTCCGACGTCCTGAGGTGCGCCCTGTGGCTCTGAGCTGAGGCTGATGATGAATTACGGGAGCTGTGGGAAGACGAGTAGAGGGAGGAGAGGGAATCATCACTCGACGCACTCGAACCACGAGATCTAGAACGTTTTTTCTTCTCTGAAATTTTCTTATTACTGTGAACACTTTTTGGTTTTGATCGAACAGTTGTTGCCGGTAATGGAGCTGAAGACTTTATTGGAATAGGATATCCAACGTTTCCTTGAACAATGCCTGACTTGTAGGTAACTCCTCCCACCGTGGTCAACTGGCCTCCAACCTTATTCAACTCAACGAGCAGATTGGTGTTGTCAGAGAATGTTGGCAATTTAGATTTACTTTTCATCTGACCATCGTTGTTATTCTCATCCGCATCTTTGAATGATTTGTTAACAGGTTGCAACTCATTTGTTTTGCTGTTTGCTAATGTAATTGACAGTGAGGTCATCGCTGGCCTGGGAGGTTCGGATGTCAACGAGGTGACCGTAATCGGAGCTTGGTTTGCCGTGACGCTTGCAGTTCCAGTAAGTTTAGTTACTGTGGTGCTGACGACAGTGGAAGATTCGTTCATTTCAGCAACGCAAGGTGGCACCACGTTTGATACAAAGCTTTTAGAAATGTCACTATTCTTTATCGATCTTACTGGCACAACTTTACTCGGGATCCATTTGCTCAACTTGCTTGACGATCTGGACCTCGACGAGGATGATGACCTGCTAGACGAATATGAGGAAGAAGACGAGGACCTCGATCTCGACCCTGACTTGGATGAGTTGGAGCTTGATGAGGAAGACGAGTAACGTGATCGAGATTTCTTTCCACTTCTTGAGGACGATGAACGTTTGTTTTTCGGTGATTTTGCCCTGGACCAAGAATCCTTCCCCTCCTCACACTTTCTTCTTCTTTCTCCCGAGTTTGTTGTTCCCTCAGCATGATGTCTCTTTCTTCTACTTGCACGCTCACCACCAATCGGCTGGCTTGCTTCTGTTCTCGAAGGAGGACTGAATCGTCTCTCCTTTCCTGGATCTATCATCCTGAAATCATGGACAGGATGGAATCCGGAATGCATGTAATCGAGAGCGGGCCACCTCATCTCGTAATCAAATGGATGTCTGTAGAGCCACGGGTTGATAGGGTGGTGCAATATCGGGAGGATGGGCAGTGGCATGGGAGGTAGGTCTGGTAGCGAAGTAGATAGTGTCTGATGCATATCTTCATAGAAAGAATCTCTATGAACTGGACGTGCCAGATGGGAAGAAGTGTCTGGGTGAATCAGTTTATCGGATGCAAGTGGAGATGTTGAAGTGCCCTTCTTATCATCGCCATCTGTTTTCTTTTTCTTGCTTCGAAAATCTTTTGCGTGACGCAGACCCCTTTCCCAGGCGGACTCACCTGCTATCTCACTCAGTCTTGGAGGTGGCGGCATTCTCTTGCCCAAGCGCTCGTGCATTGTGTAATTTCCTTTATCATTGACACCAGGATGAAGAAACCTACAATTAATGCCCCATGTACAGCTGCCTCTGCTGAAGAACCTGCACAATTCTCTTGAAAAAGGTTTCTTTGCACCTGGCTCCTTAATTTCCCCTTCTTCACAATCATCATCAGCTAATTCGCCATCAGATGAGTGAGATCCATCGTCAACATTCGACCGCTTCTCTCCTCCTTTTATATCATCATCCATGGCTTTCTGAACCTCAAAAGTAGACATCTGTTCTTGAATTTTAATTTCTGCTTCATTTTTTTCAATGGAGTCATCAACATCTTCTTCGTAATCTAGTTCACCATGATCATCAATCATTGCAGTTTCCTTTGTTGATTCATTATCTAACGAAGAATCATCATCGGCAGCACTTTTACCATTATCTAAAATTTCATTTTTGTCCAATAGCATCTTTACACTGGAGTCTTGAGGAAATTCATCCAGCGAGGTAACGTGATCAACATTGTCAGCGACAGGAGAACTTAACGAAGAGTCAGCCATGAAGAAACGGCAAAATTTCGAACGAGCGTTACAACAGACGAAAACAAAATGCAACTATTTACCTTAACTATTTGCCTTATATATATATTTTGTTCAGATTTTGTGTCTTTGTTTTTACAGCAACTTTGATTTTAACTTAATTAGAATTAAAGTTAATCATGAATTAAAGTTAATTAAAGTTAATGTTAGTCAACCAGATGATTAACTTTAATTAGAAATAAAGTTAATCTTGAATCAAAGTTAATCATGAAATAAAGTTAATTAAAGTTAATGTTAGTCAACCAGAAGATTAACTTTAATTAGAAATAAAGTTAATCTTGAATTAAAGTTAATCATGAATTAAAGTTAATTATAGTTAATGTTAGTCAATGGCATGATTAACTTTAATTCTAATTAAGTTAAAATCAAAGTCGCTTATATATACCTATGTATACATGCCTTAACAAAGATCTAATTTGCGATTGTAAAGCATAGATATAGCGTGGATTGTAAAGCATGGATATTATATATATCCATGTTGTAAAGCTAAACCAATTAAATTTAATTTAATTAGTGTCAATTAAATTCGGCATTACGTTTAAGAGTTGTAAATTTGTTTCGAAGAGATTTATATTTAGAAAGATTATTAGGCGTTGAGTTGAACTAATAATTTCTGTTCAATCTGTTTTGTCAATTTGATAATTTTACGATACCAATGATCTTTGTGTCTTTGTTTTTACAACGACTTTGATTGTAACTTTGATTGTAACTTTGATTTGATAATTTCTGTGACCCATGATTTTTGTGTCTTTGTTTTTACAACGACTTTGATTGTAACTTAATTAGAATTAAAGTTAATCATGAATTAAAGTTAATCATGTTAGTCAACCACATGATTAACTTTAATTCTAACTAAGTTACAATCAAACAAACAGTTAATTAAAATTTAACCCAAAATTCAATCAACCAATCAGTCTGTCAATCAGTCAGCCAATCAGTCAATCAATCAGTCAATCGGACAACTGACCAGCTTCCTGTTCTTTGCTGGAACTTCTGGCATCTCGAGACATCAGGATTGGACGGCCAAATGTGGCCTGAAAATATCAATCAACCAATCAAACAACCAACCAGCCAATCAATCAATCAACCAACTATCCAATCAACCAACCAGCCAACCAATCAATCAACCACCGAACGAACTTGAAACTGTTTCTCCTCGCCAAGAAAACCCGGCATGAGGAAGTCGAAAAGTGACCACAGCTCCAGGACGTTGTTCTGAATGGGGGTGCCTGATAGTATCAACCTGTGAGAACACCGCAGCTGTTTTATTGCCTTTGATACCTGTCAAGAATATCATTCGTAATTATTTTCAAATAGTCCTGTGTAATTATTATTATTATTATTATTGTTATTATTATTATTAGTCAATTGTAAATGTCAACAGTTAATTATAACATATAGGCTGGATTGTGCAACTGCCTTGCTCCAACTGCTCCAGATGCAGAGAACGAATGAATGGATGGATGGATGAATGAATGAATGAATGAATGAATGAATGAATAAACGAATGAATGGGTGAATTAATGAATGAAGGAAAAAACGAACGAACTTTCGTCTTGTTATTTTTAATAATGTGTCCCTCGTCTAATATGCAATAGTTCCATTTTATCTGTCTGCAGGAGAAAAAATTAAAAAAATGTTTTAAAATGACAACAACAACAACAACAACTACTACTACTACTAAAACAAAAACAACAACTAAAACAACAACAAAAACAACAACAATAATGAAAACTTACGAAAAAAAATCAATGTCGTTTCTGACGACGTCGTAAGATGCGAGTACTAAATTGTTATCCTTCACGTATTGCTGCAGCCTGTTCATTCATTCGTTCATCCATCCATTCATTCATTTATTCATCCATTCATTCATTCATTCATTCATCCAATCAATCATCAACCGACTATTCAACCGACTAACCGACCGACCGATCAGCTAACAAACCAATTAACCAACCAACCAGTCAGTCGATCATTCAATCAATCATTCATTCATCCATTCATATATTCATCCAATCAGTCATCTTACCAGCCAACCAACCGACCGACCAACCAACACACCAGACTCACTTCAGCCTTTCAACAGGAGGTCCCACGTAGTGCAAGGTTCGAATGAGACCGTCTGGTAGGGTCTTCTCAGCTTCGTACAGCCAATGAGCGGTCAGGGTTGGGGGGCATATAACGATAGAGGGCGGGCTCTCGTATTTCACCTGATTTTGAATGAAAGAATTTAATAAATGAAGGACTGAATAAATAAAAATGAATGAATGAATGAATGAATGAATGAATGAATGAATGAATGAATGAATGAATGAATGAATGAATGAATGAATGAATGAAAGAAAGAAAATAAATAAAAATATTAGAATAGATGTTTACTGATGGAATAATGAATAATATCAAATGTTTATTGGTGAAATGATGAACAATCTTATTGTGCTTCTTTGCGTTCTCACTCAAACTAGATATGACAATTAGCTAGGTTTCAGTGTGAATTCTTAAACGAATTTCATCAAAAAATCTAACAAACATCCATCTGGAAACTGTCAACTCCACAATAGCGCAACGAAAAATTATAATTTTCATACAAGCTCCATCCACTTGTACCTTCTTCTTAGCCAATCGTATTTCTCTCTCGTGATGATTGGCTGCCACGATGCAGAGGGCTTGCAGGGTTTTGCCCAAACCCATGTCGTCACACAAAATGCCGTGCAGTTTGAAACGGGCCAAGAAGGAGAGCCAATTGATGCCGTCCTAATATTAGTAGATAGATGGATTAAATGGATGGATGGATGGATGGATGGATGGAAGGATGGATGGATGGATGGATGGATGGATGGATGGATAAAAAGATGAACAAAAGAATGGATGGATGGATTGATGGATGGATGGATAAACGGATAGATGAAAGGCTGAATGAAAGAATGGAGAGATTGGATAATTATTGGATTGGTTGGCTGAAATAAAGAATGAATGAACAGATAGATAAATTAAATAATGGATTGACCAGCCAACCAACCAACCAACCAACCAACCTGTTGATACCTCCTCAGTTGAACTTTCAACTTCAGCGGTACCTTATAATCTTCAATCAGCTTGGGGTTCAGTAGCTGCTCTAAAAACGTTCTATCCTGTTTTATTTTAGCCTCAACTACTGCTGATGATGGTGACGACGATGACGTCATTACTGATGATGATGATGTTGTGGATGACGTCATTACGGATGATGATGATGATGTTGTTGTTGATGATGTTGTTGTTAATGATGATGATGATGTTGTTGATGATGTTGTTGTTGATGATGATGATGATGCTGTTGTTGATGATGTTGCTGTTGTTGTTGATGATGAAGTTTTAACATCGCCATCGTTGGTTGATTGCGACACTGGTTTCTGTTTGCATATGGAACAAAATTTTCGTTGTTACTGAATTATTAAGAATATTAATCAAATTAATTAACCGATATAAACAACATATTAACAAGACGATAAACAAAACTACAGGTCAAAACAACCAACCAACCAATCAATCAATCAACCAATCAATCAACCCATCAATCAACCCATCAATCAACCAATCAATCAGTCATAACACTAGATAGACCAACAATCAGCCAGCCAAACAACGAGCACACAAATCAATCAATCTTCACTTAATCAAGAAACAAACGAACGAACGAACAAACAAGAGTACAAACGAACGAACGAACGAACGAACAAACAAACAAACGAACGAACGTACTTCTAAAGGCATGAGGCAGACGAGATTGGCAAAGGTGAAGGTAGCCACGTGTCTTACTTGCTTATTTTGATAGCTCATAACTCCCAGGAGCGCCAAAACTAAACTGGTTATGTAGGGCAGGATCCCTATCGACAGCTCTTCAACGATTACTGTTTTGTGATTGGTCGTTTGGATGTATGTCAAGGTCTCGTGTCTGGGTTTGTATGTACGTCAAGTGATTGCAGATGTCAAAGTCAAATGAATGCTTAGTCGTCCAGCAGCCACAACAAAAAACGTACGACTAATTGCCTCGACAGCTCCCATCTTGCGGTTGTCATTCACCGGATCTTGCAACCACGACAGCAAGTGCCTGACGACGACGGCTTCTATGGTAATGACGCTAGCCACACGCGCGATGGTAGCCAAGCTACGAGCGGCTGCGTTTCTGACAGCTGAGTAGCGATGTTCCAGGCAGGCTAGAAGGCATGGAAAGTGACTGAATAGCTGGAGAAAGTGACGTTAATAGTATTTGTTAATATCAGTTAACCAATCAATAAATTAACCAATCAATTAACCAATCAATTAACCAACCAATCAACCAATCAGCCAACCAGTCAGCCAACAAATCAACCATGTTAATCCTACATGTTCATGTAAATCCTGGTGCACTGATGGGATGATGATGTTGAAAATATGGAGACATTTGACCAACTCGAGAGAATCATTATCCTCATCATTGTCATCGCTATTATTATTATTATTATTATTATTATTATTATTATTATTATTACTATTTTCGTTGTTGTTGATTTGCCCACAGCCATCTTTGTCCCTCACTTCTTTCTTGACCACAGCTGCGCATTTTTGAAAGAAAAAGAAACTAAACAGCTAGAAAAATTAATCATCATAATCATCATTACAGCCATCGTCATCATCACTACAATCATCATCATCATCATCATCACTATTATCATCATTATCATCACCTTTTTCCATGCCAGCAAAGATGATATTCCAGAGATCAGGAACGTCGTGCGGGAAATTCTTTCCCGCCTTTGTGACGATGCTACACAGAGCGGAAACAGGTCCTCGCTTCTGATTGGTTGACCCAGATTTTGCGACCTAATTTTCACGAAGTCAATGACGATTGTGATAATGATAGCAGTTGCGGTACAGATGATGACGATCATGT